CAAACCCCAAACCCCAAACCCCAAACCCAAACCGCAGGGGCCACCGGCCCCTTGACTTCGGCATCATTTGGGGCGTAAGCCCCAAAAGATGCCGAAGAAAAAAATTTTTTTAGTTACCTAAAAGCTTTTTTTTTTTTTTTTTGCGTTCACAAGACATAAAAATTTATATTTTGAATACCATTAACATTATCACAGGGATCTAAATTTAGTAATAATCTACTCCCATAGAGTTAACCTATTGATGCATTTTGAGATAAATGTAGTCCTATAGTAAACTAGAGGATGAACTCATTTACAAGATATTTGCATCACTTTTCTGTTTCCTTTTATTTTAAGCTAATCTTGTTTCATAAATCTTACTTTTTTAATTCTATTTGTAAAATGGTAGAGTAAATTCTAAGATGGAAGATCTAAATAACAATGTATGTAAAGTTCAATATTAACTTTATTTACTTATGGGAAACTCAAGGATCAAGAATAATAAGGAATAATAAAATGATTTATATGAGGCTTTTACTTCATTAAACGTACAGATGAAAATTTGTCAGCTTTTTTTTTGAAAGGTTGTTGAAGATTCTCTTGAATTTCTTTAAGGAAAAATGCCTATTTTCTTAAGAATTATGATTTTAATAAACAAAATTACATCTTAGATGAATATGAACGAATGATAACATATAATCACTAAAATACCTTAAGATAAGAAGATCATAGAATTATTAAATGTATTTTTCATCATACATCTTAGACAGATCAAATTCTTTTCATTTATTAATTGATATAAAGGAGGATTTGAAAAAATCATTTGAAAATATTAGAATTAGAAATATTTCACAGCAAACCTCAGGAAATGTGGAGGAATTTAATAATAAATGAGGTGATGAAGTTAAATTGTAATAGAGGTAGAGTAAATAATGTTCGGATATTAGTTTCTTGCAAGAACTGGAAATATAAAGTCTATTTTTAAATGTAAGAGGAATGCATAATGTGTGTGCTTCTCCCCAAACAGCAAGTCATTAGCTGATTCCAGTTATAAATTTGTGTATTTGTTGAACTTGAAAAATGGGAATTTCTCTCCTTATAGTACTACGTTGGCATCTGGTATTGATGATAACTCTATTCGTTTAAGGGACATTTTAATATAATATTTACCTTAAATTTGGACAAACAACATAATCGAAATAAAGTGGTATTGATTATCAATATTATTTAGTTTCATCGATTATCTCTATTCTTCATATATCAAAAGAGCTTATATTTTAATCTTAGGGTGCTCTAATTTTGAAAGGAGAATTTAGAAATCAATCTGGCATAGAATTGAGGACATTTTTTCAATAAAGAGTCAGCTGCATTTTAGAGAAATAAATTGGACAAAAAATACAATAAAATTGATTTATCATCTCTTAATTTTTTTTTTTTATAATACTAGTTACTTAATCATTGAAAGAAATAAAAATCATATTCTCTTGTTAAAAACGAGAATTTAAAGCAGGAATGGCGAAGAACCACAAAACTACTAGAAAAATATTTTAGAAGAATGATTTAAGAGAAAAACGATTTATTCTGAAGGGAATCTAAAAGAGACTCAGAAAATTGAATAATGAGATTTTTCGATTAACAAAATTCAATAAAAATTTCATATTTTTTTCATATAAAAGGAAATAAAATGTGAAATCATCTGTATAAGGTTAGAATATTTAAAATGTTGACCTTCTCTCCCTCCAATTTGTTTTCTATACAATTTTTTTTTAAACAATTATCAATCAATTCTTTATTGATTAAAAGAATGGATAATAAGAGAAATCAGGTACTACATTTTTTATAATATATTTGATTTTAATAAATTTCAAGTTGTAAATAGGTTTCCAATATATAACTTCCTTTAGAATTAAATAATGAGCGCAAATCATATCTATTAATCTATAAATTCACCTTTCAACACAAGGTTCCATATGCTTCTAAATTTGGATTTGTCAGAATTGTAATATTTTAAGTGTGTCATCTTTTTCTTAATTTAGTATTGCGCTTAGTAAATCTTAGAAAAAGTTTTAGTATATTAGAAGATGAATGGGAACCTGACATGAAACTTCCATTTTTTAAACAATTAAACTTTTCATCATTTATTTATTATTATTAATTGATGCAAGTTTGTACAAATAGTTTAAAGCATTGCTAGAAATTAAGCATATGGCAATTCAAATTCATCATTTTAAAAAAAAAAGGTTGTCACAACAACGCAAGAAATTGACTGTTACGATATCATTACCAGAGAACTACAAGATTTGAATTTGCCATTTCATCCATCGACAGTAAGCAATTTAGAGCCCAGATTTAGTAATATGCTCAAAAAGTCTAACAGGAAAACATTAGATTTTTGAGAGGAAACTGTCCTCTTATCAAGGATTAATTGCATTACTGATATAAATACTAAAGGATACCAGAAATACAATGAGAAGTTATGCTTGATATTTATGAATAGCCATAGAGTCAGAATCTAGCTACTGTTCCTAAATGCATTAAAGTAAACAGGTTCTCGAGAGGTATATCTAAAATTTTTAAGCTATCCACATTTCTTTAGGTCATGTCATTGAAAAGGAAGATGAAAGCCACTGTAGAATACTCATGTAAAAGAAATGCTAATGGGGCTTTAGATAATTCAATCTTTATTTAAAGTTCTAAAAAACTATTGGGGACAATAAAAATACACTTTCCGCTTGATATTTTTGATATAAATAAAATATCTATTCGAAAATTTTTCATCTATCAATCAAAACTGACAAAAAATGTTCTAGGTCATATCTGATAAATTTAAACAAAAAAGTTTAAGCATTATCGTATGCACACTTTCAAAATCAAATATCTATATTTTATCAATTAAATATAATCTTGATTAATATTTTTAATTCTATTCTCCTCATTTTCATTTATCAAGTTAGTATTGTCGATATTTTATTACCATATTGAACGTATAATTGATTCTACTTACTATTTTAAAAATCTCTTCATTTATATTTTTGTTATAAGCAGATTAACACAACTTTTTTTTTAAGAATATTGAATTTGTAATTTGTTGGTGTTTATCATTGGTTTTTTATAATATGATGATTTTCATAATTTATTTAATTTACTTCTCAGGATAAAATAGAATGACAAATAAAAAACAAAACGCAATCATAATTGAAAAGAATGGGTACCTAAATGAGGCAAGAGTATTCATACACAGATGGGACGAATTTTCTGATAGTGAACAGATAATATGGGGGTACCAAGAATCCAAAAGAAACTTCCATCAAGAACCAACTGGAGAACTTATATACCTTTGACAAGGACAAAACTATAGGACTANTAGAATTAAATAATGAGCGCAAATCATATCTATTAATCTATAAATTCACCTTTCAACACAAGGTTCCATATGCTTCTAAATTTGGATTTGTCAGAATTGTAATATTTTAAGTGTGTCATCTTTTTCTTAATTTAGTATTGCGCTTAGTAAATCTTAGAAAAAGTTTTAGTATATTAGAAGATGAATGGGAACCTGACATGAAACTTCCATTTTTTAAACAATTAAACTTTTCATCATTTATTTATTATTATTAATTGATGCAAGTTTGTACAAATAGTTTAAAGCATTGCTAGAAATTAAGCATATGGCAATTCAAATTCATCATTTTAAAAAAAAAAGGTTGTCACAACAACGCAAGAAATTGACTGTTACGATATCATTACCAGAGAACTACAAGATTTGAATTTGCCATTTCATCCATCGACAGTAAGCAATTTAGAGCCCAGATTTAGTAATATGCTCAAAAAGTCTAACAGGAAAACATTAGATTTTTGAGAGGAAACTGTCCTCTTATCAAGGATTAATTGCATTACTGATATAAATACTAAAGGATACCAGAAATACAATGAGAAGTTATGCTTGATATTTATGAATAGCCATAGAGTCAGAATCTAGCTACTGTTCCTAAATGCATTAAAGTAAACAGGTTCTCGAGAGGTATATCTAAAATTTTTAAGCTATCCACATTTCTTTAGGTCATGTCATTGAAAAGGAAGATGAAAGCCACTGTAGAATACTCATGTAAAAGAAATGCTAATGGGGCTTTAGATAATTCAATCTTTATTTAAAGTTCTAAAAAACTATTGGGGACAATAAAAATACACTTTCCGCTTGATATTTTTGATATAAATAAAATATCTATTCGAAAATTTTTCATCTATCAATCAAAACTGACAAAAAATGTTCTAGGTCATATCTGATAAATTTAAACAAAAAAGTTTAAGCATTATCGTATGCACACTTTCAAAATCAAATATCTATATTTTATCAATTAAATATAATCTTGATTAATATTTTTAATTCTATTCTCCTCATTTTCATTTATCAAGTTAGTATTGTCGATATTTTATTACCATATTGAACGTATAATTGATTCTACTTACTATTTTAAAAATCTCTTCATTTATATTTTTGTTATAAGCAGATTAACACAACTTTTTTTTTAAGAATATTGAATTTGTAATTTGTTGGTGTTTATCATTGGTTTTTTATAATATGATGATTTTCATAATTTATTTAATTTACTTCTCAGGATAAAATAGAATGACAAATAAAAAACAAAACGCAATCATAATTGAAAAGAATGGGTACCTAAATGAGGCAAGAGTATTCATACACAGATGGGACGAATTTTCTGATAGTGAACAGATAATATGGGGGTACCAAGAATCCAAAAGAAACTTCCATCAAGAACCAACTGGAGAACTTATATACCTTTGACAAGGACAAAACTATAGGACTATACAGTTAGTTTAACATGAATGATCCTACACTCAGCTAAGTAAAAGGAAGTTGCTTTTTAGAAGACTTAAAGCAAAAGCAAAAGTGAATTTGAATATTCATTAAAAACATTGCAATTATAATTTTAATCATTTTCTTATAACTTTTTGCATAATAAGTGTTTCTTATTAGTATTTAAATATTTGAATAATTTTGAGATGTTAGAAACAAAGGTTATAAATTAATATTTATAGACGTACAATACACTATTATATTTATAATATAAACAGAGTATAAACAGGTTTAGTCGTAATAAAGATTATTAATATTTTAGTAAAATTTAGATCTTTAGTTTAGAAAAAAGTAATGATACAATTAATAACAAAGATAAGAAGAAAGATACATTTTGATAATTAAAAAAATAAAATTAAACTTACTAATAATCTTAAATGATAAAACAGTTAAACATTGGGATTGAATGATTTTTAAATTACTCAATCTTAGTAAAATTTTCATAACCTGTTTTTTATTATTTTCAATTGATATTTAATGATATTAAAAGTATAAGAGAGAATAAAGGACTGAAAAGATATTTTAATCATCAATAAATATTCCGCCCCCTAGAGATTTTAATTATATCCATCCCTTAAAATAATCTTAAATAAGCTCTATAAGAATTACATCCAAAGGTGCTACTTTCAATAATAATTTTACATATAATGAACAGTTATTAATCACTAAGATAAGAACCATGTAATCTTACCTCCAGCTGATTTGTTTTTAGAAATTAATTTATTTCTAAACAATGATCATATCAGTCAACTAGTTCAATTTTATAATTCATTATGAAATAAAAAAATTACCCAAGGGATGGATAAAAATTAACGAATAACAAAATTGTTCTTCTCTATAACTTTGAGTTTAACCCAAAGACAATAAATTTTAGAATTAACTACATTTATTGATATTACAAAAATGTATTATTTTCTCGTAAAAAGTTTTAACGCTATTTACTTCTCTCAAAAGATATAATAATTATTTCTGCTGAGAAAGACCCAAATTTCAGAAAATTTTACCTGCATAAACATTAATACAATCAACACCTTGTAAGAGTGGGTTTTAACATCAGCCTAATTAAGTTAAAACTTCACATTAAAAAAATAAGAAAAAGTGTTTCACTATTTAGACTTAGCATAGTTCCTAAGGTTTGACACTTGTTGATTAAATAACCATTTACAAAATAGAGCTTTTGATTTTCAGGAAAAACTTGTGATTTTTCTGGATTAGAATAATATGCAATGATTATTGAAAACTAAAGGTTGAAAGTGTTCAGAACAAATCTAATTTCTAATAATAAGAGTATTGATTAAGTATGTTCAACTAATTTAAGAGAATATTTATTATTTTGAACATCATTTTTTTTATATATTAAGCATATTACAATAAGAATTGGTTAAATGAAATTTGATACAAAGTGTAGATGAACCGAAAATAAATGCAAGCAGAGTGAAATATTGTAAATAACTTAAACAATCAAATGTTGATGGATTCATTTAATTCTTTATTCTTAAACTAAGTCCTATAACTGGAAAAATGTAAAAAAAAAATATAACAAAAATAATATTGTTTGGTCTAAAAATATTAGGAATGATTTATTTAAATTGCTTATTAGTGAATAAATATTAAGATTGATTTGGAATGCATTATCTCTTAATAAAAATGGAATAGAAGAAAAGAGAATTAAAAATTTTAAGTTTCCATTTAATAGAGAATTGTGTAGTTAATTTTACTTTACCAAAAAGCAAAGTTTATTTGAGATGTAATCATTATCAAATTAGCATTAGACAATAATTTCTTGAAGAAATAATTATGTAAAAAGTTGTTCAAATTAATGAAATTTAAAGAAAGCAAAAAAGAAAATAAAATAATTTACTTGAAAGCAATAAGGATTTGAGGATAAATTTGATCTAGAAGCAATTAAAAAAGGTATTCGAAAATAAAATTTCCCGCAAAGCAATAACAAAGGGATTTTGGGATCTAGCAATAGCAAAACAAGTCAAGAAGAAAAATTGGGCTTCCAATATTATTTTTTTATCAATAGAAGAATGTAGTATCCAAAACCATTTACCTAGCAACAGGCAAGAACAAGCAAAACAGTCGGGCTTCCACGAAGCTCTCTCCAGAGTAGCTTCTAATCCAGTGGCCTTCGCGTCTAACAATAGGCAGAATGAGTGAAGCAAAACACACAGAAAGTCTTCCTGTAGGTACTAGGATTCGTTGCCTTCTAAAAGCTCTTTATAGTGGGCAACGTTAACACACATCAAAGAAGGTCTTCCAAAATTGGCCGCCAGGGATTTTTTGCTTTATTATATCACTATTTATAAGATTACGCTAAGACAGAAAAACCAACCCTGAATCTCTAGTAATAGTCTATTATATTTAAGTTACAGTGCCAGCAGCTATATTAGATAATGACCAACAGACCTTGAAAATCATTATTGTTTTACATCTTGTCAAATTGATTAAATATTTTATTGTTTTAGTAAGATAATAAAAACCTTTAAGACTCCTGCTTTTAAAAATCGTAATTCTTCAGTTCCAGTTAAATATATCCTGAAATCCTAAAGGTAGGTATAGAATATTATTGTTTTGTGAATCCAGTGCAATGAAACAAATGAAAAGCTCTATAGCATAATTAATTTTTCAATGACTCCAAATTTAACTAATAATGTATTTGATTATCATTTTCACTTAAATAACCCTATCCCCAACAGGCATTAATTAATTGTTATTCTTCATCAATATCTATTATAATCTCTGAAAGAAATAAATCAAATTCTATATGCTATCTTCAAACATTCACCATTTTCATCATTGGTTTAATCTTGGCTAATTTACTATAATGCCCTGAGAATTATTTTGAAAGTTTCAGGTTTCTCACTTTTACACTTTGATACTAATCTGATAAAATATCATACAACTCCTTTTTCTAAAAATGTTTTGAAAATCTATGTTATTTGATAACCATTTTCAATTATTTCATAATATTTAGAATTGATAATTTGAAATAGAACATTTACTCTATCATTATCTAAAATATTAAATTTGATTTTAAGTTTCACAAGAAAGACTACAAATTATGGCAAATATTAGACTATATTTGGCTATTTCAAAAATTTTAAATATAAGAATATAGACTCAATAAATTATTTTTTTTATTTCAAATTTGATGAAACTTAATATATTTGTTTTCATTTTATTATGTTTAACTANTTGAAGAAATAATTATGTAAAAAGTTGTTCAAATTAATGAAATTTAAAGAAAGCAAAAAAGAAAATAAAATAATTTACTTGAAAGCAATAAGGATTTGAGGATAAATTTGATCTAGAAGCAATTAAAAAAGGTATTCGAAAATAAAATTTCCCGCAAAGCAATAACAAAGGGATTTTGGGATCTAGCAATAGCAAAACAAGTCAAGAAGAAAAATTGGGCTTCCAATATTATTTTTTTATCAATAGAAGAATGTAGTATCCAAAACCATTTACCTAGCAACAGGCAAGAACAAGCAAAACAGTCGGGCTTCCACGAAGCTCTCTCCAGAGTAGCTTCTAATCCAGTGGCCTTCGCGTCTAACAATAGGCAGAATGAGTGAAGCAAAACACACAGAAAGTCTTCCTGTAGGTACTAGGATTCGTTGCCTTCTAAAAGCTCTTTATAGTGGGCAACGTTAACACACATCAAAGAAGGTCTTCCAAAATTGGCCGCCAGGGATTTTTTGCTTTATTATATCACTATTTATAAGATTACGCTAAGACAGAAAAACCAACCCTGAATCTCTAGTAATAGTCTATTATATTTAAGTTACAGTGCCAGCAGCTATATTAGATAATGACCAACAGACCTTGAAAATCATTATTGTTTTACATCTTGTCAAATTGATTAAATATTTTATTGTTTTAGTAAGATAATAAAAACCTTTAAGACTCCTGCTTTTAAAAATCGTAATTCTTCAGTTCCAGTTAAATATATCCTGAAATCCTAAAGGTAGGTATAGAATATTATTGTTTTGTGAATCCAGTGCAATGAAACAAATGAAAAGCTCTATAGCATAATTAATTTTTCAATGACTCCAAATTTAACTAATAATGTATTTGATTATCATTTTCACTTAAATAACCCTATCCCCAACAGGCATTAATTAATTGTTATTCTTCATCAATATCTATTATAATCTCTGAAAGAAATAAATCAAATTCTATATGCTATCTTCAAACATTCACCATTTTCATCATTGGTTTAATCTTGGCTAATTTACTATAATGCCCTGAGAATTATTTTGAAAGTTTCAGGTTTCTCACTTTTACACTTTGATACTAATCTGATAAAATATCATACAACTCCTTTTTCTAAAAATGTTTTGAAAATCTATGTTATTTGATAACCATTTTCAATTATTTCATAATATTTAGAATTGATAATTTGAAATAGAACATTTACTCTATCATTATCTAAAATATTAAATTTGATTTTAAGTTTCACAAGAAAGACTACAAATTATGGCAAATATTAGACTATATTTGGCTATTTCAAAAATTTTAAATATAAGAATATAGACTCAATAAATTATTTTTTTTATTTCAAATTTGATGAAACTTAATATATTTGTTTTCATTTTATTATGTTTAACTACACCAACAGAATTGTGATTAATTGAAATTTGTAATATTCTAAAATATCTTTAAAAAATTTCAAATTTATTTAATACAAATATTGATTGTAAGAAATAAGAAGAATGGGAAACAATATACAAAAGTTTTAAGACATTAATTTAATGTAAGGTTATATTATCATTAAATTATTTAGGCTGGATTGCAAGTCAAAATTATAATGGAAACATTTTTGTCAAAAAAGTATCTATATGGAGCGACAAGTAATTAATAATGAATCATAATTCAGAATCATTAATGTTAATATTGTTTTCATATTATACAATTTCATTATATTAAAGAGCAGTTGGGGATTTAGAGATTTTACTTTGTCAATTTTAAGATGTCCTTAGAGTTGCTATGATTTTCATAATTGTTATTATTGGAGAAGTTTTATCTCATCGTGGCATGAATCAATGGGTGGGTGAAAATGATAACACCTAACCTGCAATATATATATGTGTGAGTTTTGATCTTGTTGGAGGATTACCGAATTTAGCACCAGCTGATAAATTGGAAAAAACTATAGAAAATTTAACTCCTCAAAATAAAATTTAAGTAAACTTATAAATTTGGAAAATTGATTCATAGAATAATGAAAACTTTTAGTTACTGGTAGATGATTAAATTAAAACATATGCTATTTTCTGACCTGGAGGTGATTATTCTATTTGTGGATCCAATTGATTAGAATAAATTTATAATAAAGGAGTTACTATATCTCATTCATCATCAAAATGTAAATTAACAATGAGAACCGTTAATGCTATGGGAACTACAAATTCATATTGGGGAGTAAGGGCACTTAATATATATCTTGCAAGATGTTGTAATGGTTGCGATTAATGTCTTGGTCCTTTAAAAACAGATTGCACTGTTTGTTCAGAAGGATGGGTCCGTTACGATAATTAACGCATTAATTGTATTCATTAAGCCCCTTTTTTTCTTTTATCAAAAATTTTAATTAATCAAATTACAGATCCAAACTCAGATGACAGGATTCCTATGGAGATCAATCTATTAGAAGTTAATTAAAATATAGCTACTTATGGAACATTCACTTATTCTATTAATAATAACTTATAAATACTGACTATCCAAGTCTATACAAAATGCTTTACTAATAAAAAATGTAAAGTTTTTTTATAAAATGCCTACGATGCTAGTCTTAAATGAGTAAGAATTTATCCATTATTGCTATCCGAATATCTCTTCTATAGTTTATACTGCCAGTGTCAGAATAAGTAATTAATACATCTAATACTGAACGTTCAATCTATTAAATCTATTAAGTACAAATCGGAAAATTATATGATCTCTAGTTATTTAATACTATAGCAAAAGTTGACAATGAGTCTGTTCAAATTAAATTATTAGAAATTATACAGCAAGATCTTTGAATATAAAATTAAATTATTTTGATAAAATAATTTTCAATTTTAAGCAATTTATAAATTAAAATGCAATCTTTATTTATTTTCTCTCAAATTCTACCACTGCTCAACTTTTACGCAATACATTTATTCAGTAAAGATTAATAACACATAATCTTGAAAATGATTATTTGCTAATATAAAATATTTTATCCAACAATTTGATCTTATTCGATTGTGGATGTTTCAGAACAAATTAAATGAAATTCATTTGCATTGTGAAAAAGATATCATAATCTTTAATTTATTTTATGTAATTAGTTAGGCATGAAGGCGAATTTATAAGTCTTCTAAGTTGATCAAATTAGTTTCTCTGTAAATATTAAGCAAATATTTTTTTCCCAACAATATGGTTCATTTTATTAATGTGTAAATTTCAAGATTAGTATGAATCCCGATTGATTTGGATGTGTAGTGTTTAGTATCTAAAGTAAAATTCTAATTGGCTTCATCCAAGCATTATATTTAGACAAAATAGATTAAATCTTATCTTAAATTTGTATGATATTTTCAAGATTAATCTCTGATTCTAAAATGGTTAACAATATAAATTAAGAAGGAGATTGAAATACTTTAAACAATAAAATAGAAAAGTTATCAACAGGATTTTCTAACTACATTCTATTATTCAATGTGTGTATCTATTTATAATAAAGAAATTTTTTCTTATTTAAATAATAAAGTATGAATATCTTAGATTAAAATAAACACTAGAGACACAAGAAATAATGTGTAAACTCAAAATTTAGAATTGATCGAGGTTGATATGGATTTATCAAATAAATCGTGTGCTCAATTTTTTTGTAGTAAATGCCTTATTGATTAATTGAATAATAATAAAGTGACAACCACTCGTAAAGGATTCATTGGAAAAATGTATAAATAAATCTAAAAAATATGTTTTCCAATTTAGAAAGAAAAAGATGACTAGCAAGATTATGTATAATAATTAAATTACTTTGAAGATATAAAAACTATTAACACAATTATATTCTTAAGATTAATAAAAATCATCTAAATTATAAGAGGACAAAACTTTCATCAATGAAATGCAAAGACAATTCGAATTGTTATTAAACTGTTCTGACATTTTTTAAACCTTAGATGTATTTAAGAATACTAGAGAATATGTAAAGGATATAATGGAAAATAATACAATATAATTTTTACCATTATTGAAAAACAAAAATGAATTTGTATTATTAATATTTATTAATAGAAAACCCCCAAGTTTGAATAAAATTTGTTAAAATTCTCTAATAAGTTGTATAAATTCTAAAAGATTTTTCCAGTATCATTCTAGTTCAATTTATTATGAAGAATAATAAAATTAATTTTATTATTTTTGACAATTGTAACAAATTAAGAACATTTATCAGTAGAACTAAGAATTTTTCTTATTCCTTAATGTATAGACTAAGTCCACAGTTCAAATTAATTTCTGATCTGCAAAACCAGATGATACCATTTAATACAGCTTTCCCTAATATTTTTAAAAAAGATCAAATTCAGTCTAGAGCGATTCTATGTGCTCTTTACAAACAAATCAAGCTTAGATTCCTACATATAATCTAAATTTTTTTGTTGGAGCCACTGTAAAGATAGAATTGCTTTTATTCCCTCCTCTTCTACACAAGTTTACATATCCAATTTATTAAGTCTTATCAATGCTCATACATCTAAGAGCAAAAGATACTCCAAATAGATTCTTTTATAATATTCTCATTGTAATATCGATTCTCATTATCCAAGTATCGAATTTTACAAAAATTTGCATTCCAACTGCGCTACATATGTCCCATAATCAAATAAAATTCTATTTTGTAAATGGTGGCCCGTAATGGTCGTTACTCCAGCACTTTTGATTAGAATTCATGAAGAAATTTATAATTTATAAATGAAACTTTTTCCTTAAGGATGGCAGGGACAATGAAGCTCAAAATGATTCCAATTTAAAAAAATTACAAATATTTAGATATTTATAATAAATCAACAAAATAAATTTCTGCACATAGAAACTTAGAAAAGCTGATCAAAACTCAAAAATTTTGATAAACTAAGTTATAGTGGACTTTCAAAAAAAAATTATTGGAAGAAATAATGCAATTTATTTCAATATATACTTTGCCTCACACATTCTTTATTGTCGCCCCAAATTAATATATTCTACAAGTCAAGTTTTAATCTTTATTTGGCTAACAAAAATAATTTACTAGTTAAGTGTTAGATTTAATATTTCCTCCTTTTCCATATATATTCTTAAGGTACTAAAAGAACTAATAAGCAAGATATAAATGTTATAATTAAAACGAATAAATGGCGTTCTCATCAACAACCTGAACGCTTGAATGATTAACTTGATAAAATCAATGACAATCCCAAATTAAATTAAGGATATGAATTGTTTATACATGTGTTAAAGTGAAAATTACTAATTCTAAACCTTGCAATATGATGCCAGCGCAACTTAAATTAATCAAAAAGTCAAATATAAGCAATCAGCAATTTTTAATCTAATGATATGAACAAATGATAATAAATGCGAATATCAAGCAATCAAAATATATTCAGAGTAATATTGTCTCGATAATAAAGATGAAATAAGTATTTAATATCTCAATAAAATAAGATAATAAAAAATGAGCTGTCACTCTTTAGTCATAAGAGTATAAACATAAAATTACCATAAGTATGTAAGATTTTCAAATACAAAAATCAACTAAACTCAATTGAGGATGCTAATACTTAAACTTATAAAACAATATTTAAATCTAAGCAATAATAAGAATCAATTTTTATAGTATTGATACCAAAATTTCTAGGAAGATACTAAAATAATAAGCAATATCTTCATTATAATTAATATCTATAAAATATATCTTTAATTAAGTTTTGTATAATCATGTAAGAAATGGGAAAGAAATTAATATTCAAGATGTTTTCTACCATGTCTCACTATAAAGAAAAAATAATCAATATTGATTTATTAGGATTTATAATTTAAATTTATAATAAATTACAATCAGTATGAAATTAAATTCTGCTATTATTCCTATTTTAAAAACAGATAATCTTTTTTTTCATTCCTAGTAATTTGCTTTTGAATTGTAATTATTATCCTAAGACTTTCTATTTAGAAGTAAATTGCAAATAATAAGTTACATAATCTAATTGATTATAAGCTTAAATATTAATTGAAAAATAAATTTTATGGGCAAACAATTGATTCAAGAATTTTTGACAAAATTAATTAAAGAGAGAAAAATATACTAGGTTACTTATTTTCTGATTTATTTCCAAGGAAAACAAGTTCAGCTTAATAAGAAAAACAAATAATCATTAAAAAAATTAAAATTCTTAGCTTTTATTCGAGACTATGTTGATAAATCTAAATCTAAATTATGTCGCTTGTCCTCCAATTCAAATATGGAAGTTATGGTTTAATAACAATTTACTATACAAAATAATTTTCATCAAAAGTTTATTGAATCAATATTTCTCTATCGAAACAGCTCCCTTTAAGGTAGGGAGTTTTATTGTATGAAATGATCTATTTTTCTTAATCTATTAAAGCAAAAGAATTTTGCATTCTTCGAAAACTCATGTCGAGATTTGAGATTCTATTTATTAAATCATTTAAAATTAAAAGAAATGTTAATATTTGAAGAAATTTGATGATTAGAAGGTGCTTTTTTTTGCATTTTTTAATTGCTTTCAATTGCCTTTTAATCTAAATATATGAGAGCTTAATTACAATAATTTATCAAATTGCGATTGATACTCAATTTCTCATTACTTAAATTAATTAGATGCTTGTTAAAAAGATAGATTCTTTAGATTATATCAAATTAGGAAATAACTTTTCAATATTAGTGCTGAAATATTCATAGCAGATTAAATGAGTATTAAGAGGTTTCTATTAATTTATATGATTTGAAAAGAGAATAAAAATTATTCTGCTACTTTCATTATTAAATCTTCAATTAAATTAATTATTTACTAGACTTAATATCACATAAAGGAGAAATATTAAATCTAGCTCTTATATTTGTTAAATTTTAAGCATTACAAATAATTTTGCAAATTATAATTTATTATACTATATATATAATAGTTTATTTATATATATATATAATTATTATGGAATAGCAAGTTAATCAACTATCTTGGAAGGTTTAGCAAAATCCTAAAGAATTGGATTTATCATATTGTGTTTTTTTATAGGACTTAGAATTCATAACTTATTTAAAATCTCCTCAAGCAAAATAAATGGAATCATTAAATTTATCACATACCCTATTGTCCGATTCGTCTCTTTTACAATTAAGCTTTTTAAACTCGAAATCTTTGAAGTTTTTGAATTTAAGTTATTGTGTAAACTTTACAGAAGGTGCAATTGTCAACTTATTAAACTCTGATACTATTGTGAATATTGAAGTTCTTGACTTATCAGGTAATCAACTATCTGATGTCTGTTTAAAATTTGTATTGTAGCCAAATAAAATGAAATACTTGGCATCCGTTGCATTAAACGATATTGTATTTAACTTATATATCACTAGAAAAAAGGACAATAAGGGTTTTCATACAAGTTTTTTGAAATACTCTCTTAAACCAATCTCAATAAGAGTTTATTAAACCTTAGCATAGGCAACTCCTTTGTCTAACCTGATCAATTATAAATGACTAAAGCATAAACAATAATGAATACCTTTTTTAATCGAATTATGAAAGAAGATCATACGTAATGTTGATATTTTATATTTTTAGTTACTTTTATTAATTAAGTTTGAAGAGTACATCAATTTAAACCCTAACTCTGTTTAAATGCGAGTTACTCACTAATAAATTTATTAAGATGTTGTGTAGGAATATTATATTTCTAAGTTCTATCAAAGTGTTAAATATTGGACACTGCAAATTATTGACTGATAAAATTTGTTATTATTTATCAGAAGCAGGTGCATCTATTTAGAGGCTTGTAGATTTAGAATTATTGGGTTTGAACATAACCTCTGATGGTTTGGACAAAATAATAAAAAGCAAATCCCTTAAACTGAACCATCTTGGATTAGCTATGTGTGAAGATATTCAATGTGATACAATTAGAATATTAATGGATTCTAAATTTGGTAAAATGTTGACCTCTTTAGAAGTATCAGGATCTTACTCATAAAAAAGTCAAATTGTAGGAATGTTTTCATAAGAACAGATCATTTGGAAAGATTTTAGTCTTAAGACGTTATATATAGAGCTCTTTTTAGACTAAGGGTGTTATTACCAACACGTAGGGAAACAATAGCTTTAATTTCAAAAATAATAATAACTTAATCAAAATTTAACTCAATTAGACCCATATTATAAGACATTCTTTGAGACTCATATGTATTCAATCATAGACTAAATCATATTCATAAAAAAGATCAAAGTTGTTTTAAAAGTCTAATACACTGACGAAGACTTAATTGCTTAATATTTGACTAATTTTATAGAATAAAATAACCTTTTAGATAATCTATTAATAAATGATAATTAATTATTTGTCAACAACCTTTGCATCTTATCATACGTTTTATAATCGATAACAAAGGCGTCAGCAAAAATATATGATGTGGAAGAAAAAAACTAATAAAATAATTTAATATCAATTATTCAGATTAACTACTTAGACCCCATAGAAAAAGAAAAGATTAATGTTTCTTAAATAAGAAATTTGGTCTTAATGAAGCAAGATTTGTTAAGAGATGAAGATTTGGCTTTAGTTGGAAAATATTCAGAAACCATTTTTTCACAGCTGTCGTACATACAAATAAAAGGTAAACATTAATTTTCATAAAGGCTGCAAGCAAATCACAATGAAAGGTTTACAGTAATTAGGAGAAAGATTACTTCATTAATTATAATTTTTAGATGTTAGAAAAACATAAATTAAATTAAATGAATACTCTCAAATATTAAACGATTTTATCAATCTTACTTCCTTTAATAATAATAAAATTCAACTTGATTTTAATCAAGTAAGTTTGTTGATTATATTAGAAAAATACTAAGGATGACCTAGTCTAATGGCTAAATTTACTGTTCAGATTGTTATCTTTGAAGAAACTAAGTATTAAAAATACAAATAAATAATCAATTTTTAATATGTTTTTAATGAGGTTTGTTGCTTAAATGGTAAAAAACAATCATTTATCTATGAAAAAATTGTATTTGTAATGTTTTTTGAACATTGCTGATTTGTATTAATTATGCTTAAATTAGTCAATTATATTCAGAAGAAAGCTTAACCGAATTATGCGAAAGCCTTTAACTAAGTTTCAACATAAAAACATTTTATTTGGAGATTTCTGGATTAATTAAGCATTAGTTCATAATAGATGTTTTTAACACATTAATCAATACTTAGATTACAAATTTAAACTTATAACTTGAAAAGTATATTAATTATGTATTATAGATAAAAGTTGCAATATTATTGACGAAATCTTTATTAATAAATAAACTAGTACCCATTATTTCAAAGCATTAGAATTCAGCACTTCTAATTTAAGTTAACTTGATATTATTCTATACAACACTTAACAATTAGAAGACCTGACAGCTGTATTGACTCTAAATGAAAATAAAGTAGACAGTTTAATATATCTTTTTTAAAATAACTAATTAATTACATTAAAAATTGAATTATTGCAAGCAAAACTTGAACAATTTTTAGATATTTTATCAGCTGTCAACCCTGAAAAACTAAAAGCAGCAGAATTTGTTATAAATAAGTAATAATATTATACATTTAGTATTTTAATTAATGAAAGCTGTTTACAAAGGCTCTAAGAATTTTTACTTAAAAGTAAAAGATTAATTGAATTTTCAATATCAATGATTGGGTAATTGTTATCTATATATTTATAGGTGCGGATGTACTAAATAAATGATGGATAAATATTTTAAAAGTAACTTATACATTTTTAAAATTCCATAACTGAAATTTTATTATTGAGTATATTATAAGAGCAGTAAAATGATATTCATAACCTTACTTCTTTAATGTGGAATACTTTTTTATTTTTTTAAATATTTATCCATAATTAACAATTAGTTAAATATATTAACGTAAATTTAAATAAATGCAAGAACAATAGGAGTAGCGAAAATCCACAGATCTCATCTGCTTCTGGTCGTTTAGTTTATTATAAGGATTTTTCTTCTGTGTTTCCATATATGCATTATTGAATGGAAATCCAAATAAGCTTGGGTTACCTTTTGATCCTGATCGTAAGCAATTTTATTCAAATTTTTATATAGATTCTTCTTGTGGTTTTGATTTAGAATAATACAAATATGTATACTTTACTACACCTTCTAACAATTTCTTGTATAGGACTGTGTGTTTGAGCGAATGTCCAAACAAATAATACATAAGTAGCAGTAGTAGTAATCAATTTAGCTAAACTGCAATGCTCTCCAAATTCTATAGTAAAATCATGTCAAATAAATCCAAGTGTAACCAATATTAGTGAATCTATTCTGGCTTATCCTTCAGAAGCATGTAATTTATTTTATCATTTAGACAATAGCTAAATATGCTTACCAAAAAATCCAGATTACTTAAATGAAATAAAAGAATATATTGTACCTAGTGTTAATCAACGACTTGGTTCAGGTTTGAGAGATTTGAAATGGATAATATTAGGAATTTCTTTGATATCAGTTATTATTAGGTAATATTTGTGTTGACTAAACTAGTGTAATAGTTTTATTATTCATTGAAAAATATGGCACACGCATCTTTTGGGGTTATTTTGCGATTATTGTATTGAGTTTATTCTCTTTATGCTTTTTGAGTGCCTAGCAATACTATTAATCATAAGAATAATTAGTATTAGATCAATAGCTTGAGACAAATAAAATATTATCATTTGCTAATTCCCTCGAGATATCTTAAAAATTATACTAAATAGTTATAATAATTTCTATAATCGCTGTCATCTTAAGTATTGTCTATGCAATATATCTAAAATCATAAACAATTTTATTGAATTCATTCATCAAAGTAGGTGGGGATTTTATTAAATCAAATATAACATGTATCATTGCTCCTTTTTTAGGAGCAGTTATAATCATGTTATATTCATTTGTTTGGATTGAATAGTAATTGTATTTATTGTCAAATCTGAAATTTCAGGATAACAAATATCCATATTTTTAGTTGAATTTGACATCAGAAGACTAAGCATTGATTGTTATAAATTTTCTCATCTACATTTGGACTCTTGTATTTATTATAGGTTTGATCGAATATTTAACAAGTGGGATGGTCTGTGAATGGTACTACTAACAAGGAAATAGAGTAAATTTTGAGAAGAAAAATGTTTTATCAAATTTAATTAAATACCACATAGGATCAGTTGCTCTTGGATCGATGTTAATTACAACTTTTAAATTCATTAAATAGATATTAAATACTACAAAATTGTGTTAGGGATTTTAAAATCGAATACTTTTGGCTATATCAAAACACAATTACGTGATTATGAATATTTAGCCTAATCATTTTTTAGATTGCGGCATAATAGTTAGAGAATTAATTATAAAGGAGATTGACACATATAATAAGATAGGAGAGTTAGGTTAGACATTCTTGGAAATATCACGTTTGAGTATGGCATTGTGTTGTCAATCAATATGTATGTTGATCATCCAAGATCACCCATATTCAATTATTCTATCTTTATATTGCTTTGTGATTGCATATAGCATTACAAGCTTATTTATCTCTGTATATGGGTAATCGTCTGAAGCTATTTACATGCTTTATTTATACAGTCAAAAACATTTGAGTCAGGAAGATAACCCTTAATGTACGATTGTAAGATCATTATAATATAATTTTAGACTTTATAATTAGTGTTTAATTAGTTAAATGACAATATTAATCAAATGTAATGACGTATAATTTTCTATATTACATATATTATATTGCCTAATATAAATATAAAAATGGTTCCTATCATCGCAAAGTCTATGTATTCGTTCACATCGTCTAAGTATGATATTATTGTTGTTCCTAATAAAATCAGTAAGAATATCAAATCATTGATTTTATAATCTCGGCATTTAATGTAATAGCATAAGATTGATCCAATTTATAATACAAAGCAAACAAATGTTGCTTTTAAAGGATTTTCTCTAAATATTAGTTGAAAGAATATAAATAATATTTTTGTTAAATGCTAATTGAAATAATACATTAGCAGAGTTTTTCTTATTGCAGTAAATCTGTAAAGCTTTACAGAGTAAAATATTTGAAACATACAACCAAGAATGACACAAATTACATTTGCCACTTCATAAATTGATATTTAGATTGATTTTTGGATACAGAAAAGATATAAAAGTATTGAAAATGCTAAATCAAATTATTGAATATTTAAAACCCTGTAATAGATTTAATTAATTTTCACTTCAATTTTCTTTGCCAATAATAATTTCTCCTCCGTTGTCATTTTGATATTCTCAAATGTTTATTTTTAATTTCTAAAAGTAAAAACAAAATTCTTAGAAGATGTTGGTCTAGTTTGTATTTGTAAAATTTTTTAATAATAATTTCTGACTTTTTTTAATATGAGTTTCAAGATATAGATAGATGTGATAAAAACGAAAGATATCCATATGTTTGAAATGAAATAGTAGTCTTAATTTCTATTTTGTAATTTCAGACCTTAAATACTTTCCATATTATAAATGGAGAAGGGATAATTAATGTAAATTAAAGGCCAAATTTAAATAAAAAGCAATTATTGCAAATAAATGCTAAAATCAGCATTAAAATAATAGAGATATTATATAGCAATAACAAAATCCAAGCACAAGTGATCAAATTAGTTGAAAAATATAGATATCGGAATCATTCCCAAAAAAAAATACAATATAACGCAATACATTTAATACATAATATTTGCATCCTCTTATTATTAGTATGAATAATAATACTTTTTTTATGGTTAAACTAGTAATTCAACAAGGTCAGAATCAGATAATATTCTTGTTCTCTTTTTGACTAGAACATGTATCAAGTTAAATGGCTTAACATCTTGTTAAAATAAAAAATCAATTACGCATTTCATACCTGAATCTTAAGTTGACTCAAATTGTGAAACATTATATTAATAATTTTCAGCTGAAATTTATTCAATCCATAATGAAACGAAAGAACAATTTGAATTAATATTTTGGAGAGATATTATAACTTGATTATTCTATTGTAGGTTTACCTCCTTTTTGATTTCTGGAAGTGGTATACAAGATGAATCTGAACATTTGTAATTAGACTCAACTTTACAAAAAGAATTACAACCATCCAAGTTATTATTATTGCTATCGTCACACTCCTCTTCTCCAACTACAATCCCATCTCCACAGACTGATTAACAAGTGTCATGAATTAGATAATAACCAGATTTGCACTTTTAACATATTCCATTAATCGGATTTTGTGACTTGTCTGAACATTCAAGACAAAATGATGAAAATTGATTGCATGACTTACATTATGATTAACATTGCAAACAATCACCATTATTGATGTAATATCCATCAATACATAATTCACAAATAGAGTTTAATGAACAGTATATACAATTAGTGTGACATCTTGAACATACAGAATACTAAGATTAACTTCTTGGGGTACAATACCAATACTATTCAATATAATTGTTAAAGCATCCATCTCTAGGTAAATCATTACCATCATCACATTCAATAATATTTTGGTTATTATTTCCTCCATTTTAATAATCATTTCCACTGTTTTGATTATCATTTCCGCTATTTTAATTATCGTTTCCACTATTTTGATTATCATTTCCATTACTTTAATTATCATTTCCACTATTTTAATTATCGTTTCCGCTATTTTGATTATCATTTCCACTACTTTAATTATCATCTCCACTATTTTAATTATCGTTTCCGCTATTTTGATTATCATTTCCACTACTTTAGTTATTATCGACATTATCAAGGACACAAATCTAATCTATTTCCTTAAGTCCTAATTTGCAAGTACATTATTTATTTTCATTCATATATCTATTAGATTAGCAATCAATGCATAAATTCTCATTATTTGATTCATAACATAAATCACAAGAATAATGGCAATTAGGTATTTTCGCACAAATTTAATTACCTTCATCTTTATATCCATCAATGCATCCACAATTAGATTGATCTCCTAATTCTCTGAAACTAACATCTTTTGATTCGCATGAAATACAGCTAGTTGAAGATTATGGTTGTGAACAACTTAAACAGGAATAATGACAAATCATTTCACATAGTTTTGTGGTTGGATTTTCTTAATAATCTTATTAACAGTCACATTATTTGTTTGATAACACTCTTTTTTAATTTGGCAAACATTAAATACATTAATCTAGCTCATCACAAGCATAACAGTATTTTGGGTTCAAGCATAACTTAAGACAACCCTAATCTTCATCCTCGAAATATCCATTCTTACATAAACATTGTTTATCAACAAGGTACCTATTTATTAAAAAGTCACAAGTTAAGCAATTAGATTTTGAAACTCCATCACATGTTAAACAGGTTGAATGACATATTGGTAAACATTATTGATTTATTTCTTAATAACCTTATCTGCAATTGCATTTCCCTAACTCTAATTCTCGATCATCAACACAAGATAAACATTAAGTTTTATCACAAGTCAAACAAGGAAAAAGGCATTCTAGCTTATAAGAAGATCATTACTTTTGCATTGTGGCACATCATCTAATTCATAATACCCGTCTTTGCATATACATTAATTATTATTGAATACCCTTCTTAATGCTGGATCACACGATAAACAATAATTTAAATCAAGTGAACAAGTGAAACAACGATAATTGCATTTCATAAATGCTTACGACTAATACTCAATGCATCCTATTCCTTTAGTAGTACAATTTGCACAAGTTTAAGAGGTTTACTAATAGAACTCATTTTATTAGGGACACAAATAATTAACATTCCTATCATATAGAATGAAAATTTGATTCATTCCACACGATTTTTCCCTTGAATCATTATAGTTCTCACTCAGACAGGTAAATTTTATGGTTAATAATTCATCATAATGTTCATGTCTTATAAAAATAGGCAAACTATAATCCACATCTGACTTTCCTGTTAATTATTGCGGTTCTATGTCGTTTATAGTATATACGTATTCCGTTTCATCAATTTTTATAATAAACTAGTCTTCAATAGACCATCCATCTATAAAATATAATGTGCAATAAATTCTAATTTAATAATGATAAGGCAAATCAAAAAGGTATTTTACATAACTTCCATAGCCCCAAGTTGCATATCCTCCAATTATTTTATTATTTAGTAAATTTGAGAAGAGTAAATTAGTGAAACTATTATCTCTCTTAGGCTAAATGTTAAAAGTATTTTAAATTGTTATAGAATCAAAATCTAAAGTATAGAAATCTTATATTAAATAAATTCCGCTTGAGTTTTAGCTTATTCCTGGAGTATATTGCAAAGTTTCAATATTCTTATAATCAGTACAATTTTTAACAGATTCTAAGACCCTGCTATGGATTGGGCATTAAGGCACACACTTGCCTAAATGAGCATAATATGGGGATTTACATTTGATGCATGCCTATAAAGAATAAGACGAGCATCCTTAATCTAATTTTGATGCAGAATAAATATAAATGTTATCTTAAAATGCATACATAGCATTATCTCCTTATACATTTTATTCTATACTAAATGTTAAAAATTAAGGATTAGAAGGTATGAGGCATTCTGTATTTAGTATAACTTTGGAAACTTGAATAGTTGTTCCATTTAGTAAAGTCAGCTTAGTCTAATAAACATCAAAAAGATTAGATGGATTGGCAACAAATTTATTATTTGTTTTATTGATAGTAACAAGCTCGTATTAGAAATCAGTTCTCATAAATACAGTTTATTAACAGTCAATTGTTGTACACGTGACTGTAGTTGTTGTTTCAATAAAATATGTATACTTAAATTAATTAGTAAATGAAGTGGAATATTAAATGGTTTCTTGTTAAAGAACCACATTTTTGATTGTTGTGGTATCTTTAGTTGAATTCAGCTTTAATCTTACATATGAGCCCTCTTTCCATTCTCCAATTAAATATATAATGCCTTATAATTGCACCTTCCAGTTTGTTAAAGCATTAGTGAAAGTAGAGAAAGTGATTTGTTTCATTTTTTCATTAGTGCTTTGCTTAAATTCTTCGCTTACCCATACACCATCTGCTATCTAATATTTGATAAGGTTGGATAAATCTGGATATGTTCTTGAAAAAACATCTAAAAATAAGTATTATTTTTACTTGACGACGAAGGATATGAAATACAATTTGTCAATAATGGCGATTGCAACTATTAATTAGTAGAATCACAAGTTTTGGTACAGATTGATAATTACGTTATTGGTGTATTTGATGGACAACCCATTTGGATTCCATCTGTATAAAGGTTTATGTTTCTAATTCCATAATAAGAATTTTCTATTCCATTTAATGAATTAAATTTTATTGAAATAGCGTTTTAAGCCTTAACCTAAAAGTCAAATATTATTTCAATAGTAGTAAAGTAATGATTGCCTACTGGATCCAAACAAAGATTACTATATAATTCTATTTGTGATTTATAAAACAAATTTTGATATATTATCTTGTCGTCTATTGCAATGATAACTTCGCTATCATCAAAGAAATTAAAATATAGATCAGCCTCTAATTTAATTTAAGTGACATCCTATAACTTACTAGAAAAAGTTCTATAAATTTCTTATCCAGAAATTGTTGCAATGAATTATCTTTCACATTGATAATAGAATAATGCTTGTGTGTCTTGTCCTTTAATGTACCATGGAAGAGTTTCTGAGGATAAATCATTACTCTTCATATCTTGGAATACCAAAACCCATGCAGAGATATTGAGTACTAATAAAATAAATTCAATCATTAAATTATGCAATTTTTGATTGAAGATATTTTTGTTCATATATTGCATTAAATAACGATAAGATGTTGTAATTTAAGACTCAATGTTACGGTGCATTACTATATTAAACTGTTGTATATAAATTAATAAATATGTTCAAAAAAATGAATTTAAAGCATTTTCATAGCAAATGAAGTACTTCCTCTAAATCTTTTGTCTTAGTTCATTAGAAACTAAAATGCAATTACTAATTACTTTACTGGTTCTCTCTATTGTTTGAACCTTAAACAATACAGATCATTGTGAACAGAGCATCAAAAAACAGGAATGATGCCATCACCAGACAATAATTGAGAGCCAGACTATCTGCATCTTCATCTAAAAAAAATACAGCGCATAACTTGCGAATCTAAGAGTAACTAATTATAGTAATGATTGTCAGAACACTGCGACATAAAAAAAGAAATGATGAAAATATCAAATAAAAAGTGACTATTTTTTGAGATTTGAGTTCAGCTCCAAATATCCCATTACAGCAATTTATGATTCTCAAGAAATGAACGATGTCTAACAACACCAAGTAATAGAGGATCCCAAAGTTATCTGGGTCCTATTGTAATTCTTCAAAGTATATAAATGAATGATAGGCCTCTATATTTACCAATGATACCATGTTATATATGGATAACACCTTGAAATATCTGATAATATTACAATAAGGATTGAGTTTGCCAGACTAAATAATGTTTTTTTGGCTTTCAATTTTCGATCCTCATTCACAATAATTCTAACCAAGTCTTTGTGGATTTGCTTTTCATCTCTATCATGCATTTCAGAGGCAAAAGATACTCCTTGAATCTATCTCATAATTATCTGATGTTCATCCTCAATTTTATTCATATATAAATAATTATAAACATTGATTGTTAGGTAATATTCTAATTTTAAAAATTATTCAATATATGCAAAAGTAAGTTTATCATAATAATTAAGAGAGGAAATAGATAGGGCATTAAAATATTTCTGTTTCAAGTATACATATTACAACATATTTGCTTTGATATTCTCATTATTTCAATATGATTTACTCCCATTTGCTCTACCAATTGGATTACTGATTATCCAAGAAGTTATTTGTTGGATTTGCTTTTCTAAAAGAAATCTCATATTGTCACTCCAACATATGCTCCAAGTTTTGGCAGCCATTTTTATAATAATTCTCTATTATATCGATTTGTACTACTATATTTTTGTAAATCTGTTTGTTGTGTTCACAACATTTCTTGGAATCAAATGGAGTTGCCAATAAGATAATTAGCATGAATATTCAACTATCTTTAGATATGTAAAAATATATATAAATCATATTAATAGCTCCAAGGTTTTTATAGTATTTCAGTATTGATTGCTTCATTATGTGTGACAATTAAACTTAATCAATTAGTCAATTGGACTTGGTCCTAAACCTTTTGGTGGTATTGGATGTATTTAAGTGCTCTAATAGGTAGTGCCTTTACACTATTGATGATCTTAATTACTAAATTAATTAATTAATTCTACTACCATAGAATATCTCTCCACTCGAATGAATGTAAAATCTTAGTCTTTATTTAGATAAAACCTTGGTTTGGTCTTTTTATCTTTTTTCAATGACCAGCGTCTTATCTGGTATTTGGATAATAAATACTTTCAATCTAGTGGGAATGAATCTAAAATTAGATATTGGAATCATTGTATTTGGTATACTTATTGGATTCAATTTGGTTGTGTTTGCAGGAACTCTTTTTATTTTGAAAGACATTTCCATATTCTTAACTACTTTCATGAATGCTGATTACCCACAAAGAGAATTGCCATGTAGTCCTAGAATGGATGAAATTAGAGTCAAACAAAATTTAAAATCTCCAATATTATTGAAAAAATTGTCACCTTCCTATTTTCGTTTAGTAACATCATAAGAATTCTTAATGTATGCTAATACTAATAAAGAAGAACTGTTTACAGAAAGAGCCAATAATCTTTCATAAAATATAATTAGAGATGTTAATTAGGAAATAAAAAGAATCAAAAAATCAAAATAAAAAACAGACATAGTTCTTGAAACGCAGAAAACTTAAGTTGCTAATACTTAATGCATTATTTGTTGTGAAAAACAAGCCAATGCAGTATTGATGAAATGTGGTCATGGAGGTATATGTTACGAATGCGCATTTGAAAGCGCATAAAAAAGCAGGGAGTGCTTTCTTTGTAGACAAAGAGTCATAGAAATATATGAAATTGATTAAAATGAATAAGGCAATTATCTTAAAGTTTATAGTAAAACTAGAATTATTTGATTTCCTTATTTATATATATTTAGATAAAAATTATATATTTTCAACTTATAAGATTTTATGGACTCATTCTATTTTCAAGAGAAGAGACACAATGTTATCGAATTAAAATTAATTTTGCAATTGAAATTAAAAATTAAGTTATAATTGCTAATGCTAAATTTGAATATTGGAACTCATTATGGTTAAATAGATATGTTTGAAACTATTTAAGAGAATTTAAAGAACGATAATTCGATATTACTATTTGGAAGATTAAAATGACATTAAGTACGATGACAATATATTATTTATGAATGATATTAATTAACACATTGATCAATTTAATTCTTTTTGTTTTGATTCTTAATTAATACACTGAAGTCGAATGTCTCTAAACTATGTCAGTAATTTCTAAATATCCAAGAATTCTTCTGTTTCCATTTTCTTTTCTTATTATAAAGACTAAATTTATGTATTTGAAACATTCTTTAGTCTTTACCTAAGCATGTTAAAGGCTGGGCCTTATGGCAATAACATCATTAGACCAAACAAACACTTCATTAAAAAGGGATGAGAATCATATTCCAACAATTATAATCTTAAAACTTTAATATTTATATATATTACAGATGAATACTGGTGTTTCTAGAACATTAATTAATTGGGCTATTTCTAACAAGATGTATTAATTGACTTCTACTTCAGAAAAACTAATTATTATATTATAGGCCAACTCATATTCTTCAGACAGTAAACATAATGTTATGACACTCATAGAATTGTAACAAAATGTCCTATAAAGTGTTTCAAAGATTTCTTAATTGTGTTATCTTTATTTTTCATCTTTTTCATGCTTCAAACTTCTAAGTATATTTCTAAGATTTTAAAGTTCTTTTTCTGAAATCAACAAGGTCGTTAATGTCTAAACAGTATTACTGATGAACAGCACATCATTATCTGAGTATATCTCTAATAATTTAGCTGTAATTGTGAAATAGACCTTTTATGGATTAAGCAGAGAACATAATTTTTTAAATATCTAATCACCTTTCTTTTCAGATTATTCTTAATTCTTATGGAGCATAGTCAATATTTTATCGATTACAATTTCAAAATATTGGCTATGCATCGATATATTTGCTAACACATCCATAATGTTTTAGACAATAGCAGATTCTGAATCTGCCAATTTATCGATTAGCTTGATAATAAAATTAGAAATACTTTTGTTAAAATATCTTCTATAGTTGGAAAGAGAGACTCAGAATACGTTTCTAATAAGTGTTTCATCCATATTAATGCGGATTCAGCTGTATTGCTTTTTTTATCAGTTAACATCTCCTTTATAGTTGGCACAATGTTCATAAATTCTACAGACTAATTTTTGACTCGTTCCATAACTTTTAGTAATAACTCATTAGTTTTCTAAGCAGCTTTCCTAATTTCTTCTTCTTCATGAGAAAGTAAAATCAGAATTGGACCCAATATTTGGCTTAAACTGTTCAAGATCGTTTTTCTTAAAGGTGATTCAAATCCTCCTAAATATTATTGCATTTGATTCTTGGAAATTGGAGATGTATTGCTTCTCAAATACTCTTCTTGCTTTATCTGGGAAGTTGAATGTTGTAATCCCAACTTCCCTTTTTATTCCTCTTCCAATTCTTATTAAAACACTCTTAAATATTCAAAAATCCAGAGTAACGAATTTAATTTGGCATAATTATTTTGATTTCCTTTCATTTAACAAATTTTTAACAAAATTTCTATGATCTATTCATTAACTCTCTAATCCAGATTCACTTTTATTTCTACTTATTTCAAGAACTCATTTGCTTATAAGTCAGCACCATTACGAACCTCCCTAGTAATACTCATTCATTTTACTTGTTTGATTCTCCTAACATCATGAAGATGCCTTCCAAAATCATGGGAAAATATATGTACAAATCATTATTGTGACATTGATTCAAGACCTTTATCCATCCAAGTAGGAATTGACGAACATAAGTCACTCTCGACTTCAATTTACTCTATAATTAAGTCATAAAAGAGTTTAAGTTAAAATAACATTGTTTTCCAGGATCTGAAAATCTCTCCTGGACTGCTATTTGAACTTGGGTCTTTAATTATGCATCCAGCAAGAACATGGCTTGAACAATTTAATTATCTTGTTCTGCTGATCTTCCCAATTGATAATCAAATATTTCATTAAAATTAAGAAGGATCATTGTTTTCATAATTTTGGTCAATTGCAACAAACATTCAACAGCATATTATCTGGCCTTGTCTTCTTTATCATTTAAACATTCCAAGATTGGTTAAGTCAGGTCTTTGACACACCTTTCAGCCAATTGAGGAAACTATATATGAAAATCGCATTTACTTCTTTCACTAGAATTTCAGCCACTGTCTGAATGGCAAACATTCCTTATCTTTTTAAGTACAATTGGGAAGATGATGTAAATTTGATTTTTAAAGTTTCTATTATTTATTTGATCAACAATTCCTTCCCGCTTTAAGCATAAGATTAAACTAATGATTTTAATTATTGGCATCCCTATTGTTTCTTATCCTGACTTTTATCATACAGGAGTTTGATGATTTATTGAGGTACAACATTGTCATCCATTAGATTATATAAGTTTA